AACCTAGCCACGATTGAGAGGTTGCCCAAAGTATTCCACATGAAATAGCAAGCCCAAAATAACTCGAGTAAGCAATATTCCTACAGAGTAAACCCTATATAACTTTAATTATTCTCGATTGTAATTCAACCACCAAAAGAAATGGAATTTGCTATTAAACTTGCAGAGTTACAAAGTTTCACCACCAAAAGAAGTCGAAATCTGTCGATAGAGTTCGCCAATAGCCAAGAATAACCTCTAATAGTTCTTGTAGCTATAGATAGGGATGTCAAATCGGTTCGTTGGCTCGGCTCGAGAAAAGCTCGAGCCGACCTGTTGTGGCTCGGCGAGCCACACGAATCGGCTTGTGTCACGGGCCAAAATGGCCTTGACAAGGCCCACTCGAATTCAAATATCAAAGTTCAAAAAAAAAATAAAAAAATACATATAAATTGTCAAGTTGCCGTTACAGGCAGCTATAGTTGCCTATAACGGCAGCTAGGTGCTATATATTTTATACTTTTTTTTTTTACTGTATTTCATAATTTAATCTACGAGGTTAATATTTGAAATTCAAATTTGAATTTCAAATTTGGACTAAAATTGATTTTTTTGACTATAAATATGGGGTAAATTTTAAATTTCAAATCAATTTGTTTCAATCGATTTTAACTTGTAGTATTATAGATTCAAGTTTCAACTCTAATTTTTTTGCTCTTAATCTCATATTCAATTTCTTTCACTCTCATACAGTCATACTCTAATATTCTGTATTTTATACTATACTAGTTATAGATAAATTATATTAGTGATGAGTTTAATTAGTTTAAGGGTAGTTCGAGTACTTCATCCGGTTACGACGATGCATCTCGAAATGTTCCAATTCATTTGGAAAATATTGATGAGTAAGAAGTACTTGAGATTAAAAGGTCGAAAAAGGAATTCTCAGATTGTTGGCAACATATGACATGTAAAAAAGTTGATGTTCAAAATGGAGTGGATATTTGGAAAGTATGTTGCAATTACTGTGGCAAAGAACTTAGTTGGAAGCCCGGTTTGAGCACAACACATTTAAATAGACGCATATTAAGGAGTTGCAAAGCAAAACTAGTCGATCTCGACTCGAAATAGACCAAACTAGTGTTTGGTGGTTCTTGTTCTACTCTTTCCACCTTTGTATATTCACAGGAAATATTTCGTGAAGAAATGACTGCATACGTGGCTGCAACAGAGATGTCACTTACGATGATAGACTCAGTACACATGATCCGGCTCGTGCAGAAATATCTCCAACCCAAGTATTTTTCTTATTGTAGAAATATTCTTCATTCAGATACTATAAAATTATATAACAAAAGAAAACAAGTTGTTATTGAAAGTCTAAATTTTTTTAATAGTGTTATATATTTACATATGATTTATGGACCGGTGGTAATGGAAAATGTTATATTGCTGCTACGGCTCATTATATTGATCACCTGTGGCTTTTACATAAAAAGATTATTACATTTAGATGTGTAGAATATCCTCATAATGTCACTAACATATACATGATTTTAAAGGATATCATACAAGAATATGGTATGCAAGATATGATTTGAAATTTTACTTTTGATAATGCTAGTGTGAACAAAGGTGTTAACGAAAGATTTATTAATGAACTTAACCTTTCATTTGGAACTTTATTTTTTCATCAACGTTGTATATGTCATATTATTAATTTAATTGTAAAAGTTGGATTAGAACATACAAGTTTTTTCTTTAGATAAAATTAGACAAGTAATAAATTTTATTACTGTGTCACCGGCAAGAAAACAAGCATTTAACAGTTTGTGTGCAGAGTATGGCTTACAAGAGAAATCATTTTCCACTGATGTAAAACATAGATGGAATTCTACATATCTTATATGACATTTGTGTGAAAATTACGATAAAGTGATTTCATTATATTATAATGATGGGTATACATACGGACCTGAACATAATTTAGAAGATTGGGAATGGTCTCTTGCATTTCACGTGAAAATTTTTTTAAATCTTTTTTCGATGCTACAAAGGAATGTAGTGGAGTTTATTACCCTATATCTTCACTTGTTTTACAACATTTTTTCTACATTTCACAAACATTTCATAAATACAAGAATTTGCCCTTTTTCTGACATAGTTTACTCTATGGAGTTAAAATTTCGTAAATATTGGGAAGAAATGTCCTCTTTATTTATTTTAACTTCAGTAATAGAGCATCGACTTAATTTGAATGACACAATAGCAACTGTAAAGGGGATTTCAAATTTCATGAATGTGGAATTATCATATGTAAACATAGAATCTACGTTATCTAAAATGTAAATTATTATGCTGATAAAGAAGACCAATATAGTTCTACTTTCCCAAGTTCTTTTTCAATAAAATATTTTAACAAATTCAGACAATTTATGAATTTTTTTGAAAAGCAATACAAATGTTCCCTCGTTTAGTTCTAGTTCATCGATGTCTAGAGCGATAAATGTCGGTGGTACAAATTTTGAAATTTCCTCTGAGTTAGTTAGGTATATGTGCGTGGACGTTCACGGTGTGTTACCTGAAAAAGAATTGCAAAAATTTAGTCTTCGAAATTGGTGAAGGTCTAATAAAAGACAGTATCCAATTGTATCAAAAATTGCACGTGATCTACTAACACCTCTGGTATTTACGGTAGTATCGGAGGCTGCATTCAGTTTAAGTTGTGGAATTTTATTAGATGAACGTTCAAGACTAAAAGAAGATATATTGGAGGCTTCAATATGTTTGAAGGATTGAGAATGTATAGAATTACGTGTTCAAGAACATGTTGATAGTATATTGGCCGAAGAGTTGCAGCAGATCCAAACATAAAATGTTGTAAGTTTTTAAAATAATTCATTTCAAAACAATATGTAATTTTTAAATTTATTTGTTTCAAGAAAAATTGTACACGAAATATTTTATTCGTGTACAATTTTAACTCCGCCTACGTCATGTAGCCGATCTCAAGCCCGAAAAAAGGAGGAGGGTTGTAAGTTGTAATTTTTATTTAATTTATAATGCAATTTTATAAGTTGTAATTTTTATTTGATTTGTAACTCTTATAAATTATGCAATTTTAAATTTTTTTTTTAAGAAAATGTTAGATTCATAATCTTGTTATTAAAAAAAAAAACCAGAGCCGACTTGGCTCAACTCGACTCGACAAAACCCAAGCCCAAAGCTCGAGTTGAGCCTTGTTTCTTCGGCCGAGCTTTTGCTCGGCTCGGGCTCAAAAAAAGCTCGAGCCGAGCCTGAGCCTCGAGTTTCGGCTCGCAAGCCGACTCGGCTTGACTCACTGTCATCCCTACTTTTTCGGGTTGTTTTCTTGGTGTTGGCAACTTCTATCGACGTCGGCAACCTCAGAATCGACTTTTGTGTGACTGTCGGCAACCTCAGTCACACAAAAGTGGATAGAAGTCGCCAACGCCAAGAAAAATAACTCGAAAAAACCCGGAAAGGCAGAATGACAAGTAACAGAATTGAAGTTCTTGTGAGAATACCCAGGAAATGTAAGAAACCAAGTCTAATGCCTTGATACCATGTTATAATTAGGGTACGCTACATAAGAAGAGAAGAAGGGGAAAAGATTCATTCCTCTTTTTCTCTTCACCTTTGATGTAGCATTATATAGAAAAACATATTAAAACTTTCTATACACAGGATTGATACTATTTTCTAATTCCCACATCGAATATTTCCATACTAATTATATTACCATACTACCTCACATTCCATAACACATTTTAACCCCATTTTTTTCTTAAATATTTGGAAACAAAATTTTCATTTATGAGGAGAGTAATTGCTCAAAAAGGACAACTCTCAGCATTTGTAGATCTTTAAGAATCGAGATTTTTCACTGATTTCAGTGATCTTCTCAATTTATAAAATAATGGGAATTTATGGTTATGAATGGAGCGAGAAATGAAGGAAAAGACAAACTATTCTGATTTATGTGATAACAAAAGTTCATCAGACCTTGAGCAATGCCTTTCGAGCTGACTCTCTCTCTAGCTTTCTCCTCCTCTTGGCCTCTACTACGACTTTTGCTTCTGCTTGCCTTTGAGCACTTCTATAGCTTTGACTTTTGTTAGAAACACCGCCTTCTCTGATCATACAAAACAACAGATTGTTAAGATTGGGTTTCAAAGGTTTAAACGTGAGAAAAAAGGGCTTCAAATGAGAAAGAAAGAAGAAAGATAATTTTAAGACGAAAATAACTTTCTCTTCAATGAAAAATTTGATGAAAATTACCTTTTGTGCAATGAAATGTGTATTTAAGGGTGAAAATGTCAAAAATAAAAATTAAGAGCGTTTACACAATAATAGTGAAAGGTGCTAATTATCCATATATTTATCACTATTCCATTTCCATCTTAATAAAACAAAGGATCAAAAAGTCACCAAATTCGTGTGATCGAACCGTAACGAACCAACCCTTCCTTGCTTAGACAGGGGTGAAGAATTGTTCAAGCAGAATACAGTCTGCTGTAAATAGGTATGGTAATTGGGTTCGTCGACTTGGACCCTCGTGGCTCAGTCCGAAAAAAGTCCAAACCGACCCGGCTTGAGGCTCGGGCCAAGCCCCATTTCTGGGAGTTAGCTCGAGTAGGGCTGGCCCGTGTGGCTCAGCCACCCTGTAAAAAAAAAAAAAAAGAAGAAGAAGAAAAACTATGTTGTCTATTTGGCAGCTACTGCCTTAACTAGTAGCAAATAAAAAAAAAATTTCCAAAAAATCGAGCTTTCGAGCCTTAATTTTTTAACCGAGCTTTTTTTGCCCTAGTCGAGCCGAGCAAAAGCTTGAGCTGAGTCCGAACTGAGAATTTTGACTTGCAAACTGACTCGACTCGTTGACAACCCCAATTGTATATGATCTGTGCACTGGTGGAAAGTCAACATTCTTCATCAAATCTAAAAAGGCCAGAAAAGAAAAATCAAATTCAGAAAAGGAAAAATATAAAAAAATAAAATCGGGACGCGGAATGAAAACAGGTCAAACCCAATCCTCTCACTCTTCACCCGCCAGCCAGCCGGCCAGCTTTCTCTCTCTTAAATTTTCTCTCAATTTGGATCTCTGTAGAGGAGGCTCCATTCCTCTGCTTCTCCGGCACCGGATTTTGACTCCACCCGCCGATTGGAAATGATTACAATTCCTTATCTCACCGCTTTGACAACTTACTTCAGCTATGGACTTCTTTTCGTATTCGGCCAACTACGTGATTTCTTCCGTAAAATCATCGATTGCTGGTCCCGAAGCAGCCTTCAGGTAATTTTGACGTTTGTTTGTTTGTTATGTATCTGTATTTGGAGATGTGATTTGGTTTGGTTTGATTTGAAATGGTGGGGTTTGTTCTTTTTGTAATGGAAGGGGTATGCACCGATCTGCTTGGGGCTAGAGGATTTCTACGTTCGGAGGTTGTACCTGAGGATTCAGGTAATTTGAAAATGAATATCTGTTGCTATCATTTTTTTTCTCGCTAGTTTTTGGGTTCTTGTTGTTTTGTTTTATGTCGATAAATTTTAATCGATCTGCGATGCTTTTTGAATTCCTTTCTGTTTGTTAAAAATGAGATTCGTTTCCTACAAAATACAAAAGAATTCTTATTTTAGAACTGAATTGAAATTGGTTAGTAATGATTGGAGTTGTATACTGCAATTCATGTAATTTTGCCGGGATAAATTTTATAGGAGATGAATGGAAAAAGAAGTCTTCTTTGTTTTTTGTTTCATCTTATCTTTTTAAGAAAAAAAGAGAGAGAAGTTGGGATTAAACGAGAAGGTGACAAATTACTGTGGAATGAAAAATATGAAGCAGACGATTGAATGTTATTGCTATAATATTAGAAGGAAAATGTGGTTTAAATGTATAATCTGACGATGCGATGGGTTCAAGATTTGGTGTTGGTCGGACTTTTTGGCTAAGAGTACTGGATTTATATTTCTTGAGTTTGAGTTCATTCTAATGGATCTTCTCAGAGTACTCTCCAGTGGTTTAGTATGGAATAACATGCACACATATATGTTAAATTCTGACTGCCATTGCTTAAACTTCATAGTTGGAATGTTTATAAAATCTTGACAATGATAAGCAACAGGAATGTCGTTTCATTCAGATTTTGTTGTTGCATATTGTCACTGAATAGTCTACTCATTAACAAGATAGCAGCTTTTTACTTCATCTTAACCATGTGTGAACCTTAACGTTTCCTTGCTGCAATTTAGTTGCTACTATAATGAAATCCCACAATTTTTAGGACTGCTTTAATCGACCAATTTCAAGCCCTCCAGATGCATGGATTGATGTGGTGGAGCGTGTCTCCAAAGACAATAACAAAACACTACAGTAAGTGCTTTTGTTCCCTGTTTACGATCTGTTCTTTGTGAGTTCGTTTCTTTTTCCTGTATGAGTAGCTGGATGTGTTGACTTTTATCATGGTGAGCATTGTTGGCATCTGATTCTGATATCTATTTGCAATATTGATGTGGTATTGGACTGTGTAAACAAAATCAATGCTATTTGAAACTCAGAAGCAAAGTTCTTCAACCTAAATGCCACTTTAATTCTAAATATTCTCCTGATTTAGTTGCATCCCATGCAGGCGAACCAAAAATATAAGTAGATGCCTCAATATAGGATCATATAATTATCTAGGGTTTGCTGCAGCTGATGAATACTGTACGTCTCGTGTAATTGAATCCATGAAGAGATTTTCCCCAAGCACCTGCAGCACTCGGGTTGATGGAGGTAAATACACGTTCCTCACATGATGCTACAATGTTAGACTTTTCTCTGAAAATTATGACAAAGTGCTGATATGTACTGTTAATCACTTGAACAATGTATCAGGAACAACAATATTGCACACTGAACTAGAGCAGCGTGTGGCGAGTTTTGTTGGAAAATCAGCTGCCGTAGTCTTTGGCATGGGTTATGCAACAAATTCTGCCGTTCTTCCTGCATTAATTGGAAAGGTACGTCCTATTACCTGGACTAGAATTGTCTGTGATGTTTTGCATTTGTATATAGTTCCTTTCAATCAATTTGGATGCAGGGAGGTTTGATCATTAGTGATTCTCTGAACCATAACTCCATAGTAAATGGGGCTCGAGGAACTGGAGCTACTGTTCGGGTTTTTCAAAATAACAGTAAGTTCAAGGTTTATTTTTTGTTTCCTTACCCAAGCTAATTTTCATGAGCTTTTTTATGCATCATGTTGTTCTGTCATCCTTCCTCTAGCACCATCCCATTTGGAGAAAGTTCTGAGGGAGCAGATTGCTGATGGACAGCCTAGAACACACAGACCTTGGAAGAAAATAATTGTTCTGGTGGAGGGAATATACAGTATGGAAGGGGAGATATGCAAGCTTCCCGAGATTGTTGCCATATGTAAGAAATATAAGGTAGAGGTTCTTACAAAAGCTATTGTTTTCTGTTTGTATGGTTACTGTTATTATGCATATTTGGAAATAATCTACAGGTTATACCTTCTGGTTTGTCAGGATGAAAGCTTCACCTTTTATGCTAAATCGACTTGCTTATTAAAAATATGATATTGGTCATTAGTCTTGAGTTTTTTTTTCCCCTGTAATATAGAAGAAATTAAGATATCAACTTTGCACTTTTTTGGAACTTTTGGTCATTCTTCAGATTCATATGCATATAAATTGATATTCTGTATATAACAGGCATATGTTTATCTGGACGAGGCCCACAGCATTGGAGCTATTGGCAAAACTGGAAGGGGTGTGTGTGAACTCTTGGGGGTTGATACTGCAGATGTGGATGTCATGATGGGAACTTTCACTAAATCATTTGGATCTTGCGGTGGTTATATTGCAGGATCTGAGGTTCTTTACTAGCTCCAATTACATATACGCTTGTAGATATTGTGTTTTATAGATACAAGTGTTCTGCATGACTTGACTGCAGATGCATTTCGCACATGCGCGTAATATTTAATTTTTATGAATATAACTACGCAGAATACTTGAAACAATAATGCAATGAAGAGCTCATATAATTGTATTGTGCTGTCAGCAACTTCTTGTTCTCTTAAAAACACCCATACACTGAAAATCATCTTTTTTTTAGTGATAATAGTTCAATAAGTGCTGCTTAAATTGGACAAGTCTCGATGAACATAGCTTTAAAGTGTAAACATGGAAAGGAATAATGTCTGACACATAATCTAGACATCTAAGAACATGTGATATGATCCGGGTTAGGCCAAAGTCGGCCACATAGTATACTTCGGGACCAAAGCTGCAATTTTCTCTCGAGAATCCTATTTTGACTCAATTTCTTATTTTTGGCAAGTTTGTTGTTTTAGGACTCTTAAATCAGATTTTTTTTCCATATTTCTAGACTTTAGTATAAATAAGAAATTTATTTCATTATTGTATTAGAAGAATTTGATATTTGGGAAATTAATTCGAGAGGCTTTTGCTTCCAATCCTTATTCTCGTGTGGAACAAATCTGAACTTATCAATATTTAACATCTTGTGACATTCAACAACTCGGGTAAGATTCAACTAATTATGCAATCAAAAGGTCCTTTGCATCTTTGTTATCTTGGGGTTGTTTGATTCATTAATTGGTTGGGTTAAATCCAAATCCGGATTAAATTTACAAGTTTCGTGATCAAAAGGTTAATAGTTTAATATACTATTGGTTGTTTGGTCCGCAAATTTGTGAATTGAGTCCTAAACTTTGATTTTTTGGCTTTCTTTGGATTTGTATCATTCTTTTGTGGGTTCGTTAGTGTTCGTTGTTACTAGGTTCACATCAACATGGTTGAAGTTCTTTTTCACTTCCTTGCTGGTAAAGAATTGAACTTTAACCTTCTTGTTTGATCTTGAGAAAGAGATATTATCAGTCCACATAGCAATTTTTTTTTCCCCTAGTTTTAATCAAAGTTTATATCTTTGGGGCTAATTTCCTGTAATTGCTTGCTTCACATAATGTGCAACGTCATAGAGCCATCCTCTGTTTTTTGCTTCATCTTGTTCTGTGTTTTTAACATCTCATTTCAACTTTTCAGGAACTCATTCAATACTTGAAGTATACCTGCCCTGCACATCTTTATGCGACATCAGTATCACCTCCAGCTGCGCAACAAATCATTTCTTCCATTAAGGTTATTCTTGGAGAAGATGGTTCTAACCGAGGTGGGATTTTCTCTGCCTTATAGGACTAAAGTCCATCTCAATCGAGAGTATTTACTCACTATTAGAGCAATTTGTTAGTGCAGGGGCTCAGAAACTAGCACGGATTCGTGAAAACAGTAACTTTTTCCGGTCTGAATTGAAAAAAATGGGTTTTGAGGTATTGGGAGGCAATGATTCCCCTGTAATGCCTATCATGCTCTATAATCCATCAAAAATTCCTGCTTTTTCACGGGAGTGTCTCAAACGAAATGTAAGCTTTGCATCTCAGATGTCGTTTGTTGGTTTCATTTCTGAATAATGGTCCATTTACTTTGATTTCACATGTCATGACTTGCTCCATTTTCTGTAAGACCACATTTATTGTAATACTTCATAAGGACAATTGCATTATTGGCCCCTAACCTATTTCTCCATTAGCAAGTAGGTTCCCATTGTTTTAGAAGGAACATATTACAGCCTATTTGGAATAGCTTCTGCTTCTTGTAGAAGTGTTTTGTGAGGAGGCCATATTGGCTAATTTCCTCTAAAAACGCTTTAAAAATTATCGAGACAGGTCAAAAGTAGCTTGTTAGTTTTAAAAGCCATGCCAAAAAGGCCCAAGTCTCCAACCTTCCATATAGTTGCACAATTAATCTTGAATGACAGAAACAATCTAAATTTGTGTTAAAATCATTAGTGTAACCTCGCATAACTAATTTTATGAAGATAGATCCGACTTTTGGTCAATGCCCAGAATATAATGCAAATCATGTTTTCATGAGGACCACATGACAATTTAATAAATATTTTGACGGATCCCGACATTGGAACTAATTGTGCAAGATGAAATATTATCGACTATTAACTTTGTATTTGTATCAGGTTATCAGCAGTGTTGGCGATCTAGTTGGTATAAAATACTTTCCTGCTGAACCCGATAAACAGCAGCTTGAGGATGGCAGAGTAAAAATGGAGTGAGGAGGAGAAACTTTGTTTTTTATCAGCAAGTTTAGGAACTTGGTGTGACCTATAAATTTTTTGTGTTTATTTACCGAGTACAGAAATTTGTAACTTTATTACAAATTGGTAAAATTTGCTATGCTTTCGTGATGTAAATATTGTTCCTCTCGTGTATGAATAAGGTTAGAATTTTCAAGCAGGGTTGGCCTCTCTCTTGTTTCTATTTAAAAAAAAAAATAAAAAAATAAAAAAAAGGGAAGAAAAATTGGAAAAAAGAAGAGAAAATTGCATCATAGGCTACCAATCTATTGTTTCTGTAACAAGTTGGTTTTTCATCTTTGAAAAAAATAGCAGAGTTTATACGGTGAAAGAATAAAATAAATAGAATTCATGATTGTGATGCATTTTTGTATAGCATCGAGATCCAAATCTTAACTTTGTTATGTTAAATTATATTCTAAAAGTAATTTTATATTCGATAAAACTGTTAGTTATTAATAGGGTTAAAAAATTAAATATTTGAATATTATAAAAGATTCGCTCAACCTGCTATCCTAATTTGAGTTGGCGTGAAAAGAGAGAATTTAATTTCTTGACATAAAAGCAAAATCACACTTGAAGATACAATTTTTCTCATGGTAGTGCCAAATCTTTTGTGTAAAGACTGGGAGCAATTCTGTGTTTAAAGAAAGTTTCACGGACACGGAGCATAGAATAGAAGGAGGAGATCATACACTGTTCAGGGATTGCTGGCTCAGGCTCAACTTCCATCTTTTTTAATGAAATAATATTTAATTTTCAATTTTTTATTGAGATAATGTTTAATATATTATTAAACTAAAATATTTAATATTAAATAATGCTAAATCAGCATTTATCAAAAATTTATTCAATACAATTTTTGTTTAACTATAAAATACATCGGATTTGATTCAAGTGTAGGACCCACATAGTAACAATCTTTCAGCTTTACATTTTTGATTTATCAGTCAATCGGAAAATCCGTAATGGCGACTCCTTATTGGGCGGTATCACTCCCCGTCGGCCAAACCTCCTCCCTCTGGAGCCGCCTCCAAGAATCTTTTTTGCAAATCCGCCTTCGATACCCCCTCTCTATAGAGTAATTATTACATTTATGTGTTAATTATGCATTTAGTAAATCTAAATTCTCGAATTCCATCTTAAAAACTCAATCTTGTGGACTAAAGTAGCTTGGTTAAGGTTTTGGAATAAGTTTTTGACTGCTTTGATTTGCTATTGGAACTTGTAGAGAAGAGTAGTTCAAGATATTATTAATTCATGTTATATTTTGTGGCAAAATTTGATTCTTTGGAGATCACAAATAGTAGTTTTGTTGAATTGAATTTTGCAGTTCAACATTCCAAATCTACGTTGTTGGCATTGAGTGATGATTTATTGAAGGTTGGTTATTTCTATGAATAAAGCCCCCTGTCCCGGCTTGGGGACAGGTCAGAGACAAGGGCACCACGTGGCGCCCCCTATTGAAGGGGAGCCGGCAAGGGGACATGTCGCCCCTGTCCACAAATCGGGATAGGGAGCAGGGTTGTATTTTCTATTTTCTTGTTATAGTTCGTCAAGTTTCAGCTGATTTTTAGGTCATAAACTTAAGTAATGACTCAAAAGGCTAAGGGCAATAGTTAAATGTTTGAAGCATAAACGTCTCTAATTCAAGGAATAAGCCCTAGCCCTTGCTTGGTAATAAAACTCCTGTTACAATTTCGTCTATTTCACTTGATTGTGTCTCATGTAAACTTGTTAAGAGTAAAATTTTAATGTTCCCTTCTCATGGTTCTCACACCCCACAAATTTTTGATATTGTTCATAGTGATATATGGGGTATTGCACCTATGGTGTCTCATTCCCATTTTAAATACTTTGTTACTTTTATTGATGATTATAATCGCTTTACATGGATTTATTTTCTTCGTGCGAAAAGTGAGATTTTCTCGATATTTCAAGCTTTCTTTGCCCTCATCAACAATCAATTTTCCTCTTCAATCAAAATCCTATGATCTGATTCGTGAGGTTTAATATGTCTAATGTGTTTCAATCTCTCTTATAGAACAAAGGTATTATTTCTCAACGATCTTGTCCTTCTACTCCTCAACAAAATGGGGTGGCAGAACGCAATGATCATCATCTTCTTGACATGGTTAGAGTTCTTCTAATTGAATCTTTTGTTCTTTCTCTTTTTGGTGTGAAGTCTTGTCTACTTCTGTTCACCTCATATATCGATTACCATTTTCCACACTTGGTAATACTTCTTTGTTTTATAAACTCTTTGGCCATCATCTCACATATTTTCATCTTCGTCCCTTTGGCTGTGTTTGTTTTATCCATTTACCATCACATGAAAGGACAAAACTCACACCTCAATCTGTTAAGTATGTTTTTTTGGAATATGGTGGGACTCAAAAGGGGCATGTTTGTTATGATCCCATGACATATTGTATTAGGATATCTCATAATGTTGTATTCTTTGAAAAACAATCTTTCTTCACTTCTGATGTTGTTATTTTCCCTCCTATGTTCTCTATCTTGCCTAATTTTCTTACAGGCTCATCTTGGTACAAGCCGGGTCTAGTTTACACTCGCAGGCATGTTACATCGGTCACTACTGTCGAGCTTTCTTCTCAAACTACTGTCCCTCCAGAGCCCCGTAACCTTCCGCTTGCTACATCAGATTCTTCACCAGATGATGTTCCTCCTCCTGTCACTCTTCGTCACACTTTTCATGATTCTCGACCTCCAAATAGGTATGGTTTCACTTCCCATAGCTCTATGTCTACTACCCTTAACTCTTTTTTAATTCACTCTTCCTATAGACAGGCTATAGAACAAGAGTATTTGCAACAGGCAATGAATGCAGAACTTGAGGCTCTTCAGGCAAATGAAGCTTGGTAGGTTGTGCCATGTCGCCCCAAATGTAAAGCCCATTGGGAGTAAATGGGTATATTCAGTCAAACTTCATTCTGATGGTTCTCTTAAACATTATAAGGCATGGTTAGTTGCTTTGGGAAATCGTCAAGAGAATGGAATTGATTACGATGAGCCATTTGCTCCAATAGTGAAGATAACCACCGCTCGCCTCTTGTTATCACTTGCCGCTTCCAGGTCTTGTTCTCCACATCAAATGGATGTAAAGAATGCGTTCTTACATGGGGACCTCAAGGAGGACATTTATATAAAGCTTCTATTTGGTACACCTCTTCCCTCCGCTGACTCGTTTATAAGCTAAAGCGCTCTTTGTATGGTCATAAATAGGCACCTCGAGCAAGGTTTGACAAGTTTCGCCACACTCTCTTGGATTTCTCATTTACTCGGAGTCAATTTGATACATCTCTGTTTCTTCATAAGAGTACTGTTGGTATTATTTTTTTGTTTGTATATGTAGACGACATTATTATCTCTGGATCTGATCATACTTTTATTCAAAAGTTTCAACAACATCTTTACTCGATTTTTCATAGAAAAGAGCTTGGTCATCTCAATTATTTCTTGGGCTTAGAGGTTCATACTGCACCACATGATATTTTCTTGAATCAACATAAATATATTCAAGACTTGATTATGTTTGCCGAGTTATCTGATGCCTCCTGCGTTGATACTCCGTTAGATCTTAATGTTAAATATCGAAAAGAAGAGGGTGATATTCTTCTAGATCCTACTCTATATCGAAACTTGGCAAGTCTCATCTATCTTACTATTACAAGTCCAGATATTTCATTTGTAGTGCATATTTTTCGCAAATTTATAGATGTTCCTTGTCGTCGACATTTGGTAGCTGTTCGTTGCATTATTCGTTATCTTATTGGGACTTCTCATCGTGGTCTATTCTACCCTCAAGGAACGCCTTTTGAGCTCACAGCTTATAGTGGTGCTAACTAGACTGGTTGTCCTGATTCTCGTCGAACTACTAGTGGGTGGTGTGTTTTTTTTGGGTGATGCTCCCATTTCTTGGAAATTTAAGAAACAAAATTGTGTTTCTAAGTCCTTCACTGAGACTGAATATCACTTCATGTTCGCTGCTTATTCTGAGGTTGTGTGGTTGCGAGGTCTTCTTGTAGAACTTGGTGTTTCCCAATCGCAACCCACTCCTTTGCATGGTGACAATACTAGTGCTATTCAAATTGCGGCTAATCTGGTATAACATGAACACATCAAACATATGGAAGTAGATTGCCATTACATCTGGGATGCCTATAACTCCAAAGTCATCGATCTACCACATGTTTTCCACTAGTCAACAGGTCGCGGACATCTTCACAAAATCTCCGACCCATATTCGTCATAATTTTCTTGTCAGCAAATTGATGCTTGTGGACTCACCATCAATTTGGGGGTGGGGGGGTATTAGAGGCGTGTGATTTACAATAAATTGAAAGGTTTCTTTGTATAATTAGTTTCCCTTTTTAGATTAATTTTCCTTTGAATAGTTAGGGCTTCCTTTTACATAATTGTTAAATCTCTATTTATAAGAAAGGAAAGACAAGAAGGAGATTTATTGAGGTAAATTAGCTGCTTACTAATACACAGAAGGAATGATACCTCTTCAGCTAATGCCGGATTTGTTTAGAAGTCAAACATTAATTGGGCAGCAAATGGGCTCTGCTCTGCTTTCACTAATAAGTGATTCGTCTACATTGGACATAATTATCTTAAAGATAAAGTTTGCCCCCCTTGTTCTATCTTGTTACACTCTCTGGAATTTACATGGATAATGGTACAAATTTAAAATTGTGTTGCCTATCCTACAGGTTTTTAGCTCCTGGATGCAGTTCTGTGCTGTACGTGTGTTCACTGAAAGCATTTTGCGATATGGTCTGCCACCATCATTTTTGGTAGTTGATTTATAACGTTTTCAGCTGACCTAGTTTTTCTAGATCACCGGTGTGCTGAAAGATCATTTAATTTAACTCAGTCTGTAGTATTGTCACCTTCCATGAAAGTTGAGAAGAAAGTTCGTTCTATACTTGAGGGACTCTGCGACAGTTCAAACAGGTTCATGATCGTTTTGTGGCTTCATCACAAAATACTTGTAATGCGGATGCAATTAGAAATATGGCTAACATCTCATGATCAACTCAGTATTGCATGTGATCTGATTAAGAAAATGTTCATAGTTAAAATCCCTATCTCATCTAAGTTTCCTTATCCAGTACTTATTTGGGGTTTGACTACATGGATCTTCCTTTCAGACCCCACTTCCTCTTCAATTACTGCTTGCTCTGTGATTTTAAGTCGACCTTTTCCTCCAGTTTAACTAATTGTAGTCCCATTGCTTTTCCTCAGACATTAATTTTTCATTCCATAAACTTGTATCCTTAGGACAAATTGAGTGAATATTCTAATACTGTATATGAAATCAAAGAAATTGGGATGTTGACTTCCTGTCATTTTGACGGACAATCCTCACGCAAGATTCTATAGGAAGGTACAAATTTGAAGTTCTTCATACGTTGCAGTAAATTTTATCTAATAGAAATAGGAGGTCCAGACTCCACCGGAGTTATAGACCATTAAGGGCATGTTTGGAAAGCCTAAAAAGTTTACTTATGATCAGCAAGCATTAAAATAAATAATTTTTTTATGGCTCAAAGTTAGAAAAAAGTTATTTGTCTTTACTGTGAGGTAAGAGTTTACTTCAAAAATAACTTCTTTTACTTAAATGAAGAAAAAAGTAAGTTTTCTAAGACTATAAGCTAAGACATTTATGAAAACATAAAGGTATTTAAAATTAACTTTTACTGTTTCGTATGCTTGGTCAAAACATGCTCTGAAGTTATTTCAAAAAGCCCATATTATTACGGGCAATTGTCAAATGTTTTTCAAAAAGCCTCATCTTTGATGGTCCCGGGAACTAGTGAACTTTGATCACTTTCAAAAATTTGACTGAGAATATTTCCATTGATGCATTGCGTAAATGCAGCACATACTGGAAAACTGAGGACGAAGGAGGGATGGGCGGCTTTGCAGGTGATGCTGATGCACATATCCTTACGTCTCCTTCACCATTAATCTTATTTTAGCTACAGCATTGCAATTGTCGTTGTCCATTTCAATATCCCATGTGTGATTTTAGTAGGCCTTGAAAATAAGGACCGAATGTATTTGTACAATAGCGTAGGCTATCCTATTCTTTTTCATTGAAGACCACACTAGCTTGTCAAACATTCCTTTTGATTTTCCCAAATTGTAGCAGCAGATTATTTCTTCCTTCCCTTGTATTATTTTAAAATTGTGTGTTTAAGCCACATGATTGAACGTGTTATCATTGAATAGTGAAACTTAAAAGCTTGTGCTTTTATTTATTGAGATATTATATGTTGCTTTTGATGGTAGCATTCCTCTTTCATCTGTTTTGCATTCAACACTTGCACCACTGCACACTTCTAAATAGTGGCATTGTGTACTTGCAGTCACTGTATAAATTTGACTACTGCATTAAGCTGGATGGGGATGGTGGTGGTGGGAATTATTATTATTATTATTTTTTTTAGAAGAATTTCTTGAAGATGAAAAACTTCTAGAAAAAATTATCCAAACATGTTTAAAAGTGACTTTTAATATCAGAAGTAGTTTCTAGCTCTTAAAAAGTCTTGTCAAATGAGCCCTTGGAGGATGAAGTTGTATTTTCTATCATGTACTGACATTAATTTGGAACGTAACATGAAGCAATTTCTCGCCCACAGACTGGTATTATCTGAAGAAGCTCATCATATTAATCCAGGGACGGATCCAAGACCGAGCTACCAAATTTTGAACCGGGCTACTACGCGTAAAAAAAAAAAATTTACACATAAAAAACTGATTTTTTACCAAAAAAAATTAAAAATACCTTAAAAAAAATTTTTTGGGCCTGAGGGAGGGGGGGCTACAGCCCAGCCCAGCCCAGCCCCGTTGCAATTGTCGTTGTCCATTTCAATATCCCATGTGTGATTTTAGTAGGCCTTGAAAATAAGGACCGAATGTATTTGTACAATAGCGTAGGCTATCCTATTCTTTTTCATTGAAGACCACACTAGCTCGTCAAACATTCCTTTTGATTTTCCCAAATTGTAGCAGCAGATTATTTCTTCCTTCCCTTGTATTATTTTCAAATTGTGTTTAAGCCACATGATCGAACGTGTTATCATTGAATCGTGAAATTAAAAGCTTGTGCTTTTATTTATTGAGATATTATATGTTGCTTTTGATGGTAGCATTCCTCTTTCATCTGTTTTGCATTCAACACTTGCACCACTGCACACTTCTAAATAGTGGCATTGTGTACTTGCAGTCACTGTATAAATTTGACTACTGCATTAAGCTGGATGGGGATGGTGGTGGTGGGAATTATTATTATTATTAATTTTTTTAGAAGAATTTCTTGAAGATGAAAAACTTCTAGAAAAAATTATCCAAACATGTTTAAAAGTGACTTTTAATATCAGAAGTAGTTTTTAGCTCTTAAGAAGTCTTGTCAAATGGGCCCTTGGAGGATGAAGTTGTATTTTCTATCATGTACTGACATTAATTTGGCACGTAACATGAAGCGATTTCTCGCCCACAGACTGGTATTATCTGAAGAAGCTCATCATATTAATCTGTAGTGTAGCAGAACGTAGAGATGGGTGAAGCATTCGCAGGATCTGACTATAATCAATAATGCTACTCCCTATCATTATAAAATATTGTCACCATCTTATTAATTCCAGCACTTGGATGGTAAGATCTTTTTATCCATTCGATACATGATGGAAAATTCCCTTAACGTATGTTTATAGGCATTGCATGTTGACTAAAGATGAAAACAATGCTCAGAAGTCTATGTGGAACTTCAGGACACCATGTGGTTCCGAGGCTTGCAAAGCTCAAATGATTAATTTGATTTGTTTGAAGCTCAAACAAGCAGTTCGATTTTAGAATTAGTGTTCAGAAACGAACCAAAATCTTGATGGGAATATAATACGATTTAGATCCTATTAGGAGGGCATTTTTTGGGCCAAAAAATTCATTTCTATATCGTTACCACCTATTGTCAGTCGCAACAATTGACCATTACACTCTCATGTGGGGCCCAGGTGACCAACAAACGGCCCAAAAATTCATTTTCTTCTTTCAAAAAATGCCCTCCAAACAAGGGCTTAACATTCGAAATCAACTAAATATGATATTTTAAAATGAAACTTCAAATCTCAATAAATATATCTACAAGTATAGTTACAAACAAGTGGGATCAATAGCCTAGTCCATATTGGGACAACCCATTACCCATGCCTGGGCTGCGTCTAACAGCTCTTAAATATTAGAATAATACTACTTAAACAGGCTCACCATGTTTTGATAGATTAATTTAGCAGTATTTTATTGGCATTCTTTTGTTTAACTGCCAAGCATATTTGAGTATAAAAATCTGTTATTGAATATGTTCTTATAGCAGAACTGTAAATATTAATGTCAGCTATGCCCATCTCTCTCTCTCTATCTGTGGATATTAAAGCAGATAAGGCAATTCAATGGCAAATACACCATGGTGACCATGCCATGAGGACTAAGTCTTCATTCTCTAAATTAAATGGAACTCTGGTCCCACCCGCCGTAACTGTAGTCGGTAACAACCAACAGTGGGCCGTGGACCGGGTCCACATTAACCGTTCTCTGCATGGGATTCATAATGTAGAATTGTCCATATCCTTATCCTTGACTATTGATACTGATTGAAAGATCAAAAGAGAGTCGATAAAAATAGTGAAGATTCCATTCAATTAATGCTGTGTTTCGTAACTGAACTCTCCCTTGTCTTTTAGCAGAGAAATTGTCTCAAACAACCCTTTCGAACACGATGGTAGGTCTATCTCATACATAATTTTTGGAATAAGGTCCAAACAAATAGTGCTGAGTCTTACGATTGATTCTGGATAATCAAGGATTTATTTGTGTTTGTACGTTATGTGTATGTCTCTCTAATTCTGATTGTTTTCGTACTCACTACTTTAATAAGATTTTGTGAACCTATCTTACTCAAACACGAAAAGTTTATAGCTTCGGCACAATCTTCGTGAATGTATCCAAAACTTTCGAAATAATTGATTATGTTATCTTGTATTACGTTTCTTATGTTAATCTATTTTGTGTATCCTAAATTTGTTGATTTTCTTTTCTGACTAATGCTATTTATAAGCTTGTTTGCCATCACATCTTCCTATAAAGCTGCAATTCATTTTAATATATTGAAGAATGTGACAACTACACCATCGCATAGACTACGAATGAGTGTACAAATAAAGCTATTCTTCTTTTTATGTATAATAATATATTTTCCATTTTATTCCGATTAATATGTGAGAGAGAAAAATATAAAAAAAATTAAAAAAAAAAACTTTTTTGGGAGTTGGTTTATTTTCCTTTTAGAAAAAGGAGATTTCTCTTTGGGGTCAAAGGAAAATTTTGTTTTGTCGGCATTCCGTTTGTTTGCATGGATTACAACGGAAGTAAACTGAAACTAAACAGGGAGATGAAGTTATCCAACAAAATACATTAGAATGGATGAGAAATATTCTTTTCTTCTCCATAACAAAGAAAGTGGATAAGAACTTTTCTTCAAAGTGGCAAAATGACGAACACAAAATAATTCACCGTCAAAGTTCACAAACTTTATCGAGTTTGTCATCGTTATAACTCACTAAGGCATAAACAGTTAGGTAATGTTGAGTTAAAATATCTATATTAATTAATGATACAGCACAACAACGCGCCTTATCAATCACGACAAAAAGAAAAACGCACGATAATGATTCGTAAATCTATCTAATATGTACTCCGTACTCAAAAACTCAATAAGATATAACTAATGTCTGACTAAT